GCATATCTAAGTACAGGAAAGGAGGAAACTGACTGAGATTCTGACAGAGGCTTGTACAACTGTTATTGGAGCACAGAGCAGAAAGGGCGGGACTTAGGAAGTCAGTTGATGGAGGGTAGACAGCTGGAACATACAGTACAGTAGGCCTACCTTCTCTCTCTCCAGGGTTTGGTTCCATTCTACGTGAATGCGACAGCGGGCACCACGGTGTACGGAGCCTTCGATCCTCTCAATGACATCGCAGACATCTGCCACAGACACACTCTGTGGATGCATGTTGATGTAAGCAACCCCATGCCTTTCTCTCTCCCTCTGCCTCTCTCTCTTTCTTTCTCCCTCTCTCTCTTTCTCTCTCAGTCACACACACACACACACACACACACACACACACCCCAATCCCTTTTTTATCATTATGCAATGGTAAATAAAATGTTCATTAAACCAGTCTGTGCAATATGTAAAGGAGGGCAATACTTCGGAAGTGTATCTGTTTTTCTAAATCCACAACTTACTATGTCATAATCATGACATACTTTTTTCATACCCAACGTCCACACACACACACAGGAGGACAGCTGAGAACAGGCACTGTGCGTGAGCACAGCTCTCACCGATCTCCCCCTCTCCCTCCGGTTCTCCAGGGGAGTTCCAGGGGATGAACAGGCTAGACAGAGCCCTGCATGAGCCCACTGGAGAATGGACACAGGATTTACGTTAGGCTTAGGGGGGCAAAGAGCCGGCCCTGGACAAGGAGGGTGTGCTGGAGGAATCTTGTTGATTTTGAAAAAAAAGAGCCTTTTTTCAAGTGAATGCAAATAGCTTCCGTACAATACACTGTGGTCAAACTAATTTATATAAATAAAAACAGAAGAATAAAAGACACATTTAGATTAAAGGTCCAGAGTGTAACATTTAGTAGGATCTATCGTCAGAAATATTCATCGTAGTACAGTTTAACACCAGTTTTGGCAATCAGAGTTTCATAATTCATAAGGACTTAAGAAAATACAACTGCGGTACTGAGAGAATCTGACTGTACTTTACTACAGTACGTAATTATGCGACAGCGGATGTTGATAATGTGTGTCTGCTGTGTTGTAACTACAACATACTGAAGATGGACTACAAAGTTTTAGATACTTTCCAACCTGCACTCTTACCTCTATCTCTAATATGACTTCATTGCCATAAAAAAGGAAGACAGCCTACCAGTCATATAATGCATATCATAATCCTTTGCACATTCCTGCACAAACTGTTCATCTCAACAGTCAAATATCTAAAAAACCTTAACCCAAAGCATCCATATACCTTTCTTCGCTTTGATTGGTTGTTTTTAATCTAGGCCCAGTGGATTCTCATGAATGCCATGAGGAGCACTAGAACAAGCCAGAGGAACCTGTTTTCACAGATTATCTGTCTCATGTACTACTGCTAGAACACAGTGACATTTTCAGCAAATATAACAAAAAGTTTCCTACTGCAGTTTTAATATAATAATGTTTATACATGTTACAAAGTGTTTCACACAGAACAGCATCTTCAAAACAAGTAGATTTTACAACAGCAGCATTCACAGTCGGGCCTATAATCAGTTTAATATATTATATATATCAAAGTTCAAAACATGTAAACATTAACAAGTTATGGCATAAGAGGAAAATGAAAATAACCAGCGTCACACACCCATACACACGTTCTGATACAGCCAGAATGTGTAAGCTGTATGTTTCTTTGAGTACTCTGTGTTTTGGACTCTGTCCCTCTAGGCAGCATGGGGTGGAGGCCTGCTGATGTCAGACAGACACAGGATAAAACTACAGGGCATTGAACGGTGAGTGCGTCACAACCACTTCATACAGCCAGCATGTCTTTGTTTTCTCTGAGAGTTTCTGTGGGACACCACTACAAAGACTACAACTTACTGTGAATTCAGCTTGAATAATGAAGCAAAGCATGTTGCCAATGGACAATGTTGGCAAACACTGAATCAATTGGTTGGTCCACCTGAATAGAAATAGCATAGACTTTCCTTTCTATAAATCCTTACCTGGTTATTTTCCACAACACCAGTCTTATTGCCGCTCATCACAAATCAATTATATGTGTGTGTTACTGTGTGTAGAATTTTGCATAGCTTACGTGTGTAAGTGCTAATGTAGTGGAGATTTCTGGCTCAAGAGTGTGATGTAATGAAAGTTTGTAGTTCCTTCATGCTACACACAGAAAAGGAGTATCAAATTCATAGAATAACATAAAAGAT